GGAAACAACTAGGACAGGAATAGAACCACAGAAATGGAAATCACATGGAGGGTTAGCAACAGGGGAGTGGGAAAAGGAGAGAGGGGAAAAGGTACAGAGAATAAGTAGCATAGATGGTAGGCAGAAAATAGGGGGAGAGCAAGAATAGTATGGGAAATGTAAATGCTAAAGAACTTAAGACACATGGACATAAACTAAAGGGGGGAATGTGGGTGGGAGTGAGTGTGCAGGGTAGAGGGGAATGAAGAGAGGAAATGGGACAATTGTAATAGCATAGTCAATAAAATATATTTAAAAAAATAAGATCTACAAAATGGAAAAAAAAAAAAAAAAGAAAGTGTCCCAGGGAGGATTAAGGGGTCAGGTATGCCAAATGCTGCCTTCTGGTCAAGCAAGATGAGGACTGAGAACTGACCACTGGAATTAGCAATGTGGAGGCCCCTCGTTGCTACGTGAAGAGAGATTTTGGTGGAGCAGTAGAGCAAGAGCCTCACTAGAGTGGGTTTGAGAGAGAGTAGGAGGAGAGGAACAGATGCCTGCAGGCATTGAGGACACACTCTGTGGGGAGGCAAACCGAGAACTGAGGCAGTAGCTGAAGGGGGAAGATGGGGTCACAAGTATGGTTGTTTTTAAGATGACAGTAATTGTAACCTGTTGGAAATAATGCATTGGGGGAGAAACTTAATGACACAGAAGGAACAGGGGAGAATTGAGGAAGTGATGTCCTTAAGCAGACACACAGAAGAGGCACAGACTATAATTCAATGGTAACATTATGAGCTTGAGGCCTTTAGAATAAAGATGCATATGTGATGTAATATGATGGCCATTCTTTTGCAAGGCTGACTAAACCTGTGCTTCCAAACTGGCCCAACAGGGGAATCACTGAGGAGTAGAGAGGGCAGTTTCACTTCAGATGCCACTATTATCATCACACGCCAGTGGCTGTAAAGTTGCACTTTGTTACTAACAGTTTAATGATGGTACAGAAATAATCACTCATCTTTGAACAACTGCTTATTGCTCTACCATGTACCAGGTCTAGGTGTCATTCCAAGTGTTGGGGACACAGCAGTGAACAAAATAACCACGTCTACAACATTTTGATTAGTTATGTTCTAAACAGATCTGCATGCATTTATTTATAACAAAAAATTTGTTTTGGATTGCCCTGAATTGTCTTTATATTTTGCGAAAGCCCTTGTTACCCTAACACTGAAACATTTTATTATCAATTGTGTCCCCAGGCTGGTTTTGGAGTATATGTTTGGGGCACGTTCTCCATTGTCTTTTTTTGCCAGGTTTTACCCAAGAGCCTTTTCAAATATATTTAACTGGTCTTGAAATGTGGTCACTTTTAGATACATTAATAGGATATCTCAACAGCCTTTTAAGAACTACTCTAACTTGCTTTTTTTGTGAGTCTTTTAAATGCTACTTTTTTGTGAGTCTTTTAAGTGCAGTTACATTCTTGAACAAAAGCAACTTGATATCATTGTGCTATTCAATTTCTCCTCCTTCAGTTTCTACAGTAAAAAGAGTTCCACAAGGGGAGAAGTGAGGAGTATAGAGTTGCTGAGACTTCTTTTCGCTAAATTTATAAACCTGAATTTTCTACCTTTTACCAAAGAACACATTCCACCTTGTTGAACCTTTTAAAAGGTCAACTGCCACTTTGAGAGCATTCATTTGTTTCAGTCTTCTGTGGCCTTTCCAAGGTTGTTTCTCTGATTTCCTGGCGGTGTCCCTATTTCCTGGGAAACGTTCCTTGTGGAGAAGCACAAAGCCTCTTCTACAGTTGTCTTCGAAACTCTTCCTCATTAGTGTTCACTAGACTTCCTACTCGCTTAAAATTTTATTTTGGTTTTAGATATCCTATAGTCTGTCGTACTTTATTTTGGAATACAAATATTCTCCAAAATATACGTGGGGAGAGAGATTTATTTTGCAGTTCTCTGTTAGCCTTGCTTGCTTCAGACCACACTTCTTAAAGGTGTCTCAAAGGACTTGTACTTGTTCTCACATGGTTTCAAATACTGTTTTACCATATATTGTATTTGTAAAGCACCTTATTACTTAAGAGTAATAACTGTGTGTACTTTAGCTTTCCCTTCCTTGTCTGTAAATATTTGTGTATCACAGAACTCAATTACATAATGCCCATTATTACAGAGTTGCAATAGCATAGCCTAAAAATTTTCTCCTGAAGCAATGCCCCATAGGAAGCAACATGGCTAGTCTGTAACATCTGTGTTTCCCTCCCGGCCTATAAAGCCAACTATTTATTCCTACTCCCTTCACAGGAGCCTTCCTACTGTTGGAAAGTGAGCCAAGATGTCTAAGAACTCGAGAGTACTATGCATGCGCCTGTGTTTATGAAAAAGCTTATCTTCACATCAATGAAATGTAGTATGTGGTTAAATGCACTGCAGTATATGGAATCTAAATAATAAACAGGATGGGTAATGTTGACAGGACAAAATTCCAAAACTAATACAAATAGAATAACTAAGCTTAAAGAAAACAAGATTTGCGTAAAAGCAGCAGATGAAAATTTGCAAAACGTCCACTTACATACACATTTTGCCCCAAAGTGAGTAGAACAGATTAAGAAAAGTCCAAATATTGGAGAACTATAAATCTTTTTAGGAAAGCCATAATAACGTCTAATGTGAATAAAGAGTTCCAACGTGCATTTCAGATCAAGCCTTTCACTTCTCTAAAAAGAATGTTTTGCAGAAAATAAGCATATTCCCATAAAAACAGAGAAATCAACCTTGAAAATAAGGCCATGGAAACACACTATATCTGTGGGTAAGTTACTTAACTGCTTGGTACCTCAGCTTATTCTTATATATATGAAATAATGCATTTAGTGGGCACAGAGAAAGTACTTGTTTTTGGAAACTCGGTTTTGACTTTGTCTCTGGTTTGGTAAGTCAGGACACAACACCACTTGTGTTCCCTTATCCTCAGTTATGAGGGGAAGGTATTTCACAACCTCTAGAAAGTTTCTTGGTCGTAGGAGCTGCTCTGAAGAATTGGTTGAAAGAGAGCAAGAGACTGTTCCTAGTACTTGGAGCAAACAGAGGTGTTGACAGCTCCGGTCAAACTGAAGGGCCCACCCATAAAGGGAAGAGTGCTTCTGATGACAGTGACTTGGGAACTTGGGTATGTGTTTCTCATTTGAGTTTAATGAGAAAAACAGGGACTTATGCAATGAAATAACTCACATCCTGGTGCTAGTCTCATACCAGGGAAGTGTGCAGGCCCCGGCGAGGCATTACTTGTCGGCCATCACATCTCGGAGTGGGAGAGTGCCTGCCACACCCGCTGGCGGCTGCAGCTTGAGTTTCCTTTTGTGTAGGAATGCGGTGGGCACTTTCTTGTTCACTTGCTTGTGGAAAGTTAAATATCTGTGACGAAAAGGCAGCCCGCTCAGAGGCAAGGCTAGAGGTTTCCAGCACTGGTGGGAACCTGTTTCCAAACTCTTTCCACTTCTCATCAGCCCAGTCCACCACATTAGACCTTTTTAAAAATACTTTCTCTGCCAAGGCCTTGACTTCGTGTTTGAAAATGTTTTCAAATAAATGTCACTTGCACCCCTAGCTAGAGGGCCAATCAAAAGCCAAAGGAAATTGTCAGGACATTGTGATAGACTCTATGTGACAATAATAAACTGCCATTTGTTGTTGGCTGCCAGAGAAGGGTGAGGAACAGGTAGGCAGATACAATGGGTGAAGGGGGTCAAAAAGTCATAAAATAACTTAAAGTTATAAAACAAATAAGTCCCAGGACATAATAAATAGCATGGAGACTATAGTTAATGATAATGTATTATGTATTCAAAAGTTGCTAAAAGTAAATCTTAAAAGTTCTCATAAGAAAAAAATTATAACTGTGTGATAATGGATGATAACTAGATGTATTGTGTTGATCATTTAGCTGTATATATTGACATTGAATCACTGTTACACATCTAAAACTAATATAATGTCATATGTCCGTTATATGTCCAAAAAATAAACTGCCATCGACTGAGCCCTTGCTTCCTCTGCTGCAGCCTCACCCAGGAGAATGCAGGACCAGAGCCAAATGCTCACGCAGCAGGCCTCAGGGATATCCTGGGCAGCGGCCAAGCGCCGCACACTCCGGAGGGCATCTTCCACCTGGAATTAGTAGCCAGAGTCTCACAGGAAGCCGGGAGGGGGAACTTTGTCACCTGCGGCCACATAAACAACTTGGGCTCAAGACTGAACAGGCAGTGACCAAACAGGGTCGCGAAAACACCCGGTGGAGTCCTGGCAGTTTCCCAGGCTCGACTGAGCTTAACACTCAGGGCTCCAGAGCAGATGCGCCATTCACCCCGGCTGCAGCTGTCGGGCGTCTTCACTCAGGGCTGAGCGTGTTACCTGGAGCAAATTCTCGCACATCCATTTCCACCCCACATTGCCTCTCTCTCCTAACCTGCAGCCCAGAAGTAAGTTCAACGAAACGCCTAGCCTAAAGAGAGGCTTCCCTCCCTCGCCTGCGCAGGCTGCAGCCTCAGGGATCAGTTTTCCCCGACGAGTGGGCTGCCTGGGCTGGGCCAGGCCTCTCACCTCGGTTCCCGGTTCGGGAGTCGTGGGGCGCCCGGAATGCGTCCCAGCCATTCGCTGCAAAGAGTTAACCAAGTAGGGCAGGCGCTCCCGGCCAGCGCTGCCTGGTTGCAACACATCTCGAAGCAGCGCCACCACTCCCGCGATCGCCCGTATTCGCCACAGTCCCAGCTCTGTCCATCCTCCCCCTGCACCCAAACGACGCCTCTCCGGGGCCCGAATCCCACCCACCTCCCACTAATGCCGCGGCTCCGGGCGGAGCGCCCCACTCCCAGGCCCCAGCGCACCCTGCACCCTCCCTCACTTCCTAGGCTGCTGGGGTCGGCCCCACTCGGTTAGGACTCAGTCCCGGACTCCCGGCCGGCTGCTCCCCCGCTGCTGCCTCCCGGGAGGTGCCCTTACCGATGCCCTGGATGAAGACGAAGCCAGTGACCACGAGCACCGGGTGCCAGTTAAACTCGAGTGAGCCCCCGTCCCAGGCGAGGCCCCCCCGGTAGTGGAGGACCCAGACGATGGTGAGGATCACGGACAGGAAGCCAAAGAGCAGAGCCGCCACCAGCAGCGCCAGGAAGCCTTTGTAGCCGTCCATGGCCATCACTGTCCCATACCCGGAGTCTCGGCAGCCACGGGAACTCGGCCGGGCGGCGGCGGCCTGGGGTACTGGCCTCACGGCGATCGCGGGCGTGGACTTTTGGCAGCAGTCTCCGCCCGGGAGGAGGGGCTTTCCTGACGCCTGCAGGGGGGTGTGGGGCCTCCAGGGGGTGCGCTGCGGGCCATAAGCTCGAAACCCGTCCCTCCTCAAGGACCGTGTGGCTGCCGAGAGCTCTGGCTGCGCACTGGCCGCTCCCTGGCTCCGCGTCCCGCCTTGCCGAGCGCTCCAATGACCGATCCAGTTAGTTGAGAGAGCTCGGCTGATTTCATAACCACCACTTTCTTTTCACTGTTCCTGTGTGTCTTCCTCATTTGTGGGAGGCCGCATAAGGCAGTGGTGTGCAGTCCCGGTTAACTGACCAGAGGGGCCCGCTGGGCGGGGTTGTGTGTGTGATTCTGATTAACGAAGCCTCTGAGTCTCGGTCCTAGAGGACTGGCTGTCTTCGATGCCAAGAACGCACCAAGGAGGAACCTGTGGGTTGGAATGGGCTTTGGCCCTACTTAGCAAGGGATCTGCTTGCAGTTTGGCTTTCCAGAGGGAAGACAGACACCTCCTGAACCTTGGGCTTGCCTATAAACTGTGATAAAATAGATGCGAAAAGTGCCTACCTGCCCAAGGCCCAGACCAAAGCCTCTCCTTGATGAAGTGAAACTCAGTCCCTTCCCTCTTTCCCAACATTATTATCACTCTTCTCCATTGGACAAGAAAAGCGCTGGTGTTTACTGCTATTGAGGAAAACGAAGCTGTGGCTGTTGGGACCTCTGGATCGTATTTAGGAACATTCGCTTCTAGCTATCTCTCCCAGCTCATCTCCAAGGACTAGGTTACCATATTGTCTTGTTGCCATTTTGAAAGATCTTAGAATGTGTGGGAAGTGTATGGGGGTGATTTTCCATGGAAAAGACACGTTTTAGGCCAAGAAAGTAGGAGTGCAAAGCCCTTGTTGTGGGCAGGGTTAATAGCTAAGAGTTAGAGGCTGCAGACTTCCGCTGTGTCTGTCTTTTTCCCTTGGTGAATTAGGAAAGAGAGGGAGAATAAGCACGTGGAATAGCAGGACCCTTCCCCACAGTACAAGGCTTTCCGTGGTCTGGGCCAGCCTAGCCCTCCACTCTAATCCTTGACCACAGTCTGACTGGCCCTGATATCCACGGCTGTAGTCTTTTCTTCCAGGTCCTGACCACTTCCTTCCACATCCCTGCCTCAAAATGGGCCCGACCCCATTCTACCCAGAAACCTTCCCCGAGTCTGCCTAGGCCCCCATCTTACACCTTCCCCACTGCTCCATTCAATGCCTCTCTATCACTTGTCGAGATGTGATATAACCATCTGTTTCCCTGGCTGTCTCCACCTCCTTGCCTGCCCCTTGAGGATATTAACCGTCTAATTGATCATTTCATTCTCCTTGACATATAGTAGTTATTCAGTAAATGTCAGCTGGGAGATAAATGGGAGTGAGTGTATCAGTTAGAGTCCTGGCAGGGAACTGAAGGCACATTTCCATTGGGCAATTTAAAAATAAACAGGACGAGTTTTTACAAAGTTGTGGGCAGTGTGTGGAAAACCACAAGGACATTGCCATACTCGGGCCTCAAGAGGGGGAAGCCTACTGGAATCTAGAGAGATGGGACTGTGTGGAAAAGGCAGTCTGTCTGGAGCTGAGGCCTGGAGTTGAGGGAGGCAGCTAGCCTTGCAGGGACCCCACGGGGAGAAAGGATGGGCGGTGGGAGTATTCCAGCCTCACTCTCCTTGCCTGCGAGCTCCTGCCCAGTACCAATGGCTTAACTTAATCCAAAGCCAGAGGGCCATTGACTTAGGCCAATAGTTAGCCTCCCCGGGGCACACGGTAGGGTGGAGAAAGGTAAGAGTAGATCTGTAGGAATTAAAGAAACTCCTCAATCAAAGAAACTCATTGAATCTTCTAGTTTGCTTTTTTCAAGACATTTTTTGATTCCTGAGTGCTGCAAATATTTTGTTTAATTTTATGCTGTTTCTCTTCTTTTGGGACCCATAGTTAGTAATTTAAACAACAATGATCATTGTGTTCCTATTCTTTTCTCTGCAAGTACTGTGCCTTTGTCATCAGTGAACTTCCTCACCCCCTTGACACAATGCCTCCATCCGATTCTTGAGTTGGTTTTGCTCCGCAGCAGCAGCAGAGCGGCAGCGAATAAGAATCTTCGGGATCCAGACCCCATTCGACAAGAGCATGGCCACATGGTACAGATGGCGTCGAATCATCTTGAAATTAAAAGTTAACCTGAGAGAACTTCAACTTTAAGTTTCCTTTTAGGGCCTAACTTTGATAAAACTTGTCACTTGAAACAGGAAAATTTTCACTGAATCTTACTATAATGTTAACAACTTTTTAAAAGTCATTCAATTAAAGTTTCCCTCAAGAGATGGTAAACAACTTGTTACCAAAGTCCTTGCCCAGACTAGGTAACCTATCAGCAATGTTACCTAAGGGATCCTGATGTGTGTAGGGGGAGGATGGGGCGGGGGGGGGGCATGGAACAACATAGCCTTCCTAAAGTCCTGCGACTCTGGAGACATGTTCCCACTAACACAGATTTTTATTGTCCCTGGTGTAGACATTGAATGCAGAGTAAGGAGATATGACGTGAAGAGGGAGGGAAAGAAAATCCAACGCCCACCCATCATGACATTTGGAACCAGATGCCCTAGATGCCATCTATCTATTAAACTTCCATGCAGTAATGCTGCATTTCTCTTGGTACACACAGAAGTCCAGTATTCTAATGTAAAGTATACTAAGTTGTACATAGTGGTTTGCTTTATGGGATAAGTGGGCTAGTTTTTAAACTTTCAAATGTTGGCTATGCTGGTTGCCTCTCCATTTCCCACCTTTCTCTGCCTCGCCTTGTGCCCTGGCAGGCTCCTGGCCCACCGGCTTCCACTCAGTTTTGGTCAGTGGGTGTGCTGGAAGGAGAGCAGAGAGCAGGAAGAAAGAGGTCACTCTTTATCTCCCATTGTGCCTCTTTGCCAGAAAAGGGTTTTGTGCTGGTTGTGTCCCCTTTGCCACAACTTTCCAGTGCCCCCCCTTTCACAGCGACAGCTTTCCCTGTAACCCAGCAATGAGCCCTTGCTTCCACAGGCCTGTGTGGGGTATTGGCCACCTGCTGTTGCTTGTGCCAGGTCTTCACCCTTCCTTGTTTGGTTCTCTTAAGTCTGTTTGCCCCTCTGTAAATAGTTCTTTATTTTTTTAAGATTTTATTTATTTTTTTAGGGAGGGGGAGGGAGGAAGAAATAGAGGGAGAGAAACATCAGTATGTGGTAGCCTCTTGCACACCCCCCTCTGGGGACCTAGCCTGCAACCCAGGCATGTGACCTAGACTGAGAATTGAACTGGCAACCTTTTCATTCTCAGGCCAGCACTCAACCACTGAGCTACACCAGCCAGGGCTATGGTTCCTCTATGAAACGCTCTTCAGTAGCATCCTCTGTGTTAACCAGCTGTTTCCTGTGGAACCCGGACAGAAATAAGTAGAAAAATACTATGGCCCAATGCCATTTCCTTAATCCCCCCCTAGTTGCCTATGTCTTCTGAAGACACATGATGAAAGGAGGAACATATGAAGCAAGAAACCCACAGTCTGGAGGAATAAACTCACACATCTTCCTGTCCTCCCTTCGACTAGACAAGAGATTTGGGGATGAGAAGGCTGACCTGGGTGACTAAAACAAAGCAACTCACAGCTGATCCCAGATGACTAAAATGAAATGACTCCCAGCTGGCACTGTGACTCATGACATAAGCCAAGCCCAGGCAGTGGTCCAAGGCTCCTTAGGAAAATTAAGCAAGGGATATGGTTTTGAAATGAGCGCAGTCAAATCAATGTTAATGGGGGGAATACACATTCCTCACATGAGGGTAGTCCGTATTGTCTTCAGGGAGAAAACCCAATGTCTGCTCTGCCAAGGTGTTTTTCTGGGGACTTGGTCATGTGGAGACTGGCAATGAAGCAGTCTCTACCACCTCCCTAGTTCAGGAGGCGCCCAGAGCCCATCCACCCCACGAGGGCAAGGCTGAAGCAAGGGAAGATTTCATTTGTATGTGGCCACAGTCTGGAAGGAGGCAGAATGTAACTCTTCCTGAGGGAGCAAAGAAGCACATAGACTAGGAAGCAGACCTAAGGAGAAGACGATGTCTGGGGAGATGTGGAGGGTGAGAATGGGCTGGACCAAGTCATTCCTTATGTTCTTACCATACATCCGCTTCCTATAGTGTTCAGTAAGATCTATCTGACCCTTCATTTAATTTTTTAAATTGCTTCTATCATCATTCTGTTTGAGTTGGCTTTGGGGATAACTGGTCAGGCAGAAAGCACTTAGAAAAGAGATTTGTAACTTCCTAATCATCCATCACCTTCTTAATCATCTGGCAAGACAAAATTATAACCTCATTCTGCCCCGACCTTCTTAGCCCAAACTTGGGAGAGTCCAGTTCAGGCAAAGAGTCTGGTCTTCATCCAGGCAAAAGAAAAAAAGGATTCAGTTCCAAGATTCCTCAATTTTCATCTACCACCAGGTAAGAAAAAAAAAAGAATGGTATTTGGTCACACCTAGTGACCAAATTTTATTTCTTTTAGAGCCCTTGTCCCCATACATTCTTATAAAACCTTATGAAAAATTTGACATTAGTGGAGCCATGTTTAAAAAAGCCACAGCAGCCATACCAGAACGGCTTGCATACTGTGTTCCTTGAACCTCTGGAATGTTTGAACTGGGCAAAATAACCTCTGGACTGGGCGAAACCAACACTGTCTTATGAAACGACTGTAAAATGATAAGGAAAGCAGGCATTGTGGCCACAAGGACACCTGATCATGCACAGTCTTTCTGAAATAAAATCAGTAATCGATTGTGTATAGCTAAAGAGTAACATAGTTTGTTAACACCAATAGAAATTTCTTTCTTCTATTTATGTAATTATTTCCCCTCCCTTCCTTATTTAAAAAACAAGAACAAAAACCAGAAAAACAGCCCTGGCTTGTGCGGTTCGGTGGATTGAGTGCTGACCTGCAATGGTCAGGGCAGGTGCCTGGGTTGTGGGCCAGGACCCCAGCTGGGGGTCCGTGAGAGGCAACCCATGGATGTTTCTCTCCCTCTCTTTCTCCCTCCCTTCTCCTCTCTCTAAAAAAGCAAAAAGAAGTAAATAAACTCTTTTTATAAAACCACTCTTGCTTTCACCCTGTTA